CCTCGTAGGAGATTTGGAGGGCTGGCGGCCCCCTCAATGGACCGGCCATATGAGCCAGCCTCTCCCGCGTAGCCAGGTGCGTTGTTACTGGGTCTTTGCGTGGGGGAACGGCGGCAATTAGGTTAATTCAGGCACTTCTGACACGTGCTGTAGTCAAGGAGAACTGCGGCAGCACAGATCCAACCTGGCTGGTTTAGCTTTTTAATGCTTTTCAGGCATTATAGGACCAACCTGTCAGGCATGCTTAAGGCAGTGATAGCTCTTCTTTAAACCTTCTCCCTAAAAGGTGCTTGCGAAGAGACCGTGTGTCTGGAGCCTTAATGGTGACTTTGCTTTATCCCATGACAAAGTTTCTCACAGGCTTTGAAGCAGGGCCCTCCAGCCTTCATGACTTTGCAGCACCTTTAATAAAATGTTGTCTGATCCGTTTTGGTTTTGCACTAGACTAAAACTCATTCAAAACTCATTCAGTGCTAGTTGGAGACTGTAGAAAGCTTAAGATAACTTTGGCTTTTTAACAAGTCAGTTCTTGGTGAGTTAGCTGTCATCCTTTTCCTCTGTATGTTAGCGCTTGCTGTAGTATATATGTCAAATTACAAATATTTCAAATACAGATCAGATTCTCAAATTTTAGCACAAAAAAATATATCAGACCACGAAGACTGGAAACAGAATACCACTAGTGTAATTCATTGTCTTGTTTGGTAATTTAGCATGAATTGAATTGAACTCTCCAAGACTGAATTGCAACTAAATGGATTCTTGAGTCCTAATGTAGTTAAACAAGCCACTGCTGATTGCTTTGAGAGGAAGTATTGTGATTAAACATGACAGCTAATAGAGTTAAGGTAGGTTTCATGACATGGGCGCAAAGCTATGATATGCTTAATATGCAGCAATTCCATCAAAAGTGGCAGTTAACCATCAGTCTGAAATATTTGAGAGCCTTGCTGCTTTGCTTAGGTGTAAATCTGCTCTTTGAACACTTACACGTGGGTGATTTTATATATATATATATGTGTATATATAAAACACTTCTATTACTTCTGTTTGATAACTAGCTATGAAAATCAGTCCTGTGCTCGTGTGAAAGGCTAGGTGGGATCCAGTGTCTTAAGGATAAGTTTATTTAGCTCGTGAGCAAAGGACACCACCTGCACTCTTACTCAACGCTTGGCTTGAGCGTGTTCTCTGGATCCTCAATAGTGCACATTTTAAGTCATTTATCCATGAGTTTGGAGATTCCTTCTCTATGGTGTGCTGGATGCTGTCTAAAGTCCTAAGGTGGAACACCAAAAGGCTTTGTCAGAGCTTTTAAAGGGGCTTTTGGGTGGTGCTGAGCATTTAGTTGAAATGTGGCCGGCTGTTGGCTTGCAGAGGAGCTGGAGAGAGTGAAGAAGCTGTTTTACTGCTTCCTCGGTGGTGATTTTAATGAGCCTGTGCAGTGACTCAGGCTCCAAGTAGGGATGCAGCCTTTTACTGTTGAACTTAGCCATTAAATATCTTGCTTGGGAAGTAACTTGGCTTTGCCCTTCAGAAGGATGGATGTGGGTTCTGTGGAGTATTTAAGAGGTGGTGGAGTGGTCCGTGCGGGTTGGCAGAGGAGGATATCTGGAAAGCAGTTCTTGCAGCTCAAGCAAGCAAGCACAGGGGAGCAAAATGAGAGGCCAGAATTAAGTATGACGTTAGACAGGGGAGAGTACTTCTGATGACCTGTGCTGGACAGAGAAGCAAAACGAGAGGCCAGAATTGAAGTATGACATTAGACAGGAGAGAGTACTTCTGATGACCTGTGCTGGAGAAAAATGGTGAACTTGCAGGTGGCTTCTTTTCTTGCTCAACCTGTAGGGCTATTGAATTGTTGAGCTCTGCTACCCCCCCAGCTCTGCTTCCCCCTGGTTTGCAGGGTGTACAGCTTAGGAGGAATTTGCAAGGGGGTTCATAAGTGGTGGCATGGGAAGCAAGCCTCTTTAGCTGCTATTTTGGCCATCATTGGCATGTGGAATTTGCATCATTCCTGCAGGTAATTCCTATCCTCTGTCAGCACCTTTAGAAACTAAAGTTTTTGTTTTCTAGAGGCTGATTCTGTCAGCTGCAAAGGAGAGGAGGAGAAGGACGAGATCTTTCTTTCCTTGGTTGCCACAAGAACTGGGATGTCTCAGTTGTTCATGAAACTGCAGCCTGTGATGACTGTTTTGTTGTAGTGTTCTGCTTCCAACTGATGCTCTTTTTCTTTCTTTTTTTCCTCTTTTTCTCCAGGCTGTGACAGCATTAGTAAAAAACTACCCGAAGCACATGGTTTCCTCAATGCAGCAGATCCTGCCCATCGTTTGGAACACCCTTACGGAAAGCGCAGCCTTATATCCTTTGCAGCGAGTGGTTTAAACTAGAACAGAAGGGCACACACTCTGTTCTTTCCCATACACAGTAAGCAACTAACCATGGCTAAAGAGCACTGTGCAGAGAGTAATTCACAGTAACAGAATTGGAATCTGTTGTGTACCTTTAATGGATATTTCTGTTACCTCAGTAGGTTCAAGAATGTTTCTTTTTTTGTTGTTTAAAAGTCTTCGATGATCATTAACATCAACACGCATACTGGCTTTAGATTTGTGTCCACTCTCTGCATTATTTCTCATAACTTTTTAGTGAAGAATGTTCTCCTAAAGGTATAGAGATGTGGTTTAAAGACTTCAGGTAAAAGATTAATCTCCAGTATTCCTTGCTACAGCAGTACTAATGGTGGTGACCCTTGCTGCTGAAGCTGCATTTGATTTGCCTTTTGAATTTACATTAAAGCTCAGTCTGCTGTGTTAAAAAGATGCTGCCTTGGTAGTTCTCCCAGCACGTGCAAACTGACAAGTCAAATCTTTACACATATAATTAATTCAAAGGTAGCTATCCTTAGCTCTAAGGTAGCTTTTGTTAGCTTTTTACAGTAATGTTAGAATACCAAGCTCTCTTGCAGCTTTTTCTAAAGTCTTTTGGTATAAACACCAGAAATGGCTGCTGTGTTACGATAACAGCAGGAAGTTGGACAGATGATTTTCTGTACAATTTAATCAGAGTTGCTGAATTTCTAGAGATACAGATCTCTCCCTTTCATAACAAGATACAACATAGTCTTTCAGTTCTGAATTGTGCATGGTACATACCGTTGCATGGTATGTTCTTGTAGCTTAAAAATGGTTATGGAAACTATGAAATTAGCATTAGTCAGACATCAAGGATGGGAGCTGGGAACACTTAGGCAGGAGCTTCATTTTCTCATAGAAAGAAGGAGTTTGAGTGTATCCCTTCTCACGGAGTTTTAATACAGATGAAGCTTTGGTTTGCCCTTCTTGAAGGGCTTGGCTTAAATGAATCGATCTCTAAAGGATGTACTGAAGTGTGGTTGCTGCTTTCTGAAGCTCAGCAGTGGCCAGAATGGGAGAGTCTTGTAGTGTGTCTTCCACTTGAAACTCTGTTGTAAAGTAAAAGTTTCTAAAGAAACTTGCAGGAATTTGAAGATTAGAAAAGATTAATTTCTGAATCTATGCGGCTGCCTAAAAATGCCTGATTTTACTTAACTCCATCTACTTATGTGAGAACAGAAGTAAATTACACAGAAGAGGTGGAGGACCCTGTGGATTCGGATGGTAAGGACTTGTCAAACTGCACTTCTGACTCCTGTTATAAATAGGAGTGGAAGAGAAGCTTATCTAAATATTAATGTTGTCAAAACAGTGACAGAAACACTGTAGGAATTCATGCTTAATAGTACATTTATGGTGTTAGAACAGTATTACCTTTTTTTTTGCACATTTCATGTGACTGTGATCATTGGAGCTGTTAAACTTTACAGTTTCTAACAAATCTGGGATTTCTGCAACAATCTTGAGGTGAGAGTAATGGGACGAAACAAAGCTGAACAGGTTTTAGGTTGGGCTTGATTGATTTAAATTAGGAGTGTGTGATGATGGGAAGAAGACAGAAGGGGTTGATGTCTGTGAGAAGAAATATCATCCTGTCTGACATGCTAACAGTTTGTGATTATATTTGACACTTATACCTTTCTGCTGTCATACTCAGCTGTGTTGTTCTCACTTAAATTCTTCATTCAGGTGAAGTATTGGGCTTTGAAAATCTGGTGTTCAGCATATTTGAATTTGTTCATGCCTTGCTGGAAAACAACAAATTTAAGAGCACGGTGAAGAAGGCCTTGCCAGAGCTGATCTATTACATCCTGCTTTACATGCAGATCACAGAGGAGCAGGTGAGCACGTTTGCTTAGTGTAGGAAGCAAATGAGAGATTTAAAATACCTCAATGTTGTAGGTAGCATTTTGGTGGATGGAAGCTGCTGTAATGTAATAGGCTGTTTTGTCGCTCTGCTGTGCCTGGAATTAGGGCAATCGCCACAAAATGTTTCCCTATGATAATGTGGATAGTAGATGAAGAATTATTCTGTGAAAATGGGGATTATGGTGCCGAGAGGGGTAACTGGGTTCATTTGATAGTGAGGAGAGTGCTATCAGGGTGGTACAACTCACTGAAATTCTGCATGCCTCCTGGCCTCCCAAACCAGACAGCTGTCTCCAGTTTCTCTTGTTTAGGTAGCCATGCATAAAAAGAGGCACTCTGTTTAAGATTCAGCTGCTTCTCCCATTCCTCATCTATAAGTAAAGTCTTCTGTGCAGCGATGATTCCAGGTCAGTCAGTCAGCCCTGTCAAATTCTCATCTCGAATGAGGAAGCAAAAGAACAAGATGAATTTAGAACAAGAAGGGGCCTCTTCTTTTTAAGCCTTTCCTCTGATTACCCTAAATACAAGGTTGAGATTTATAGGAAGAAAGAGAAGTACTAACTAGCACAGTCCCCATTGGCTTCAGCTCAAATGTTTCCTTCTAATGCCTGAGCTTGTTGGCAGTGTAAAGGGGAGGGAGCCCTCAGTCTAACTATGCTCTTCCCCTCCCATGAAGAGTGCAACAGAAAGCACTATTCAGTCTGCATGCTCTGCTCGGTCCTTTTTAGGTGCTTTATTTTGTGAAGTATGAACTGGAATATGCCTTAAAAAAAAAAAAAAAAAAGGAGGGGGGGAGGCAATTGAAGAAGCCTTTGAGGACATTGTAAGGAAAAGAAAATTTTGAAAGCAGTGTTGCAGCACTGAGATTACTGCCCTTTTTGCTCTTTCAGATCAAAGTTTGGACTGCAAATCCACAACAGTTTGTGGAGGATGAGGATGATGATACCTTTTCTTATACCGTGAGGATTGCTGCACAGGATCTGTTGCTGGTATGAGAAGTGTTCCACACTTAGAAGCAACCAAAATACACACAAGAACTTAATGCAAGTAAAAAAAGAAGAGTAGTTGTGACCTGTACTCATAGTCTTTAGATATTTAACTTCAGGTGGGGCAGTTAGTGAAAAGAGCAGCTTTCAAAGGTCTTTACAAATAAGCATTATCACTTCCTTCCGCACAGGCTGTGGCTGCTGATTTCCAAAATGAGAGCGCAACCGCTTTGGCTGCAGCAGCTACGAGACACTTGCAAGAAGCTGAGCAGGCTAAAAACAGTGGTGCTGAGCACTGGTAAGGAGATGGGGCAGTAGATGAGGCGCTGGTGGCTAGGCAGGCTCTTCCACAGCACTGGATGCGAGTTAATCAGTTTTTCATGATGTTACTACTGACAGACACAAGGATAAAATTTGAGAGCTTTTGATCCAAAGAAGAAGAAAAGGAAGTGCAGCAGTTTTCAATCCATATGCAGAATTCTTCCTATGGAATATTTTCAGCGTTTTTTAGCACCAACTAGCTGTCCGCAGGCTCCCTCCCTCCTGACAGTCCCTGAAAACGTGTCATTGAAAACTATAGTTAAAACCATATGTGACCTGAAGATAAATTGCCTGCCGAGCAGTTAATTAAACTCAAAATTTCAGGCATATCTTATACTTGATGTAAAGAAGAGATTTGGGTGCTGTTTGCAGATGTATGTGTTCAGTTTTAAAACTTCAGATGCAGTTTCTAATGTTATGGGGTATAGAGAGAGTACTGAATTTAAGGAAAACCCAGTTGCTGTTCCATTACTTCACTATGGATTTCACAATCAGTTAGTTCAGTGTCTGTGCTTATTTTGAATACTGGTGTCAGATTAGCTACTCTTACAAAGAGCAATACCTGAAAGTCTGAGAGATCAGACTCTATATGTGCTCTCCCTTCCTGCAAAAATACACTGTTAATCTCTTTGGTATCTCTGGTATTCTTTAAATTTACCAAATTTAAAGTATGTTCACTTTGCATCAAGAAAGATTTCTGGTGGACTTCTACTTCACAAATAAAACCAAGGGGAACTGTTATTTTCCCCAAATGCTATTTCATCATAGTTATCAAAGTGTATTGCAAAATAGAAATTTTAAAATCATTTATGTACTGATATCGCAGTGCTTCTGAGTATAAAATAATCAAGCAAAGCACAGCTGGAAATCTGAGCCTTCACACTAGATTCTCATGGTATATTCTCATTTTGATTTTATTATGCAAACAAAAAGCATTACAAGTATTAGTGTTTACTGAACCATTATTTTAGAATATGATTGAGAAAGCTGCCTATCTATGGTGAGTCTCCAAGCTCTCCATCCTGGAGGTTTTTGAGTATTCATTTCCTTCAAGGCCAGTTCAGATACTCTGGGGATCAAGATGATCATTGTGGTAGCTTAGACCAGAAAATCTTAATTATTTCAGTTTATGGAGGTGATGGTGATGAGAAAAAAAGGTTTTTGAATTCTTCTGCAGGTGGAAGATTCACGAAGCTTGTATGCTGGCCCTGGGCTCTGTGAAATCTATTATTACAGACAGTGTGAAGAATGGTAGTATACACTTCGATATGCACGGCTTCCTGACCAACGTCGTCCTTGCAGACCTAAACCTTTCAGGTATGTTGGTCCTTGCCATCACTCGGAGCAACTACTAAGCACCAGGTGCTTGGAAATCTCTTAAAATGGAAGTGTGGGATGTACTGGGATGCTGCATGCGTGTGGCATCCTGAAATGCAACTGAGTGTTGTACAGAGCTCCTGGAGTCAGTATAGATACTTCTTAGAGAACCTCCATTCTGTGTTTACTGGTGGCAATCAACCAAATGAAATATTTGCTGCTCTTAGTACTTATGTAGAAGAAAAAAAAATCCTCTGTTGCTATGTGTCTTGCTTGCAGGTTTTGGTATTTTTGTCTTAGATTTTTTTTTTTTTAAAGTATGTGCAGGGCTATAAATATTGGCAGTGAGATGATGAGAGATAGTAAGCATTGCAAATTTGAGGGTAGCCTAAATAGGTACAGATAGTTAAGTTTGGAGAGGTAGGAGGGTAGGGATGATAAAGATGCCTCAGAGCATAAGTGTAGAACAGGTGATTTACTCTGTTGCTCTTGCTCTTTTTTTTAAGCATTTGCTACTTGCTGCTGTTGGAGTGAACAAAACAATATATTGACCCAGGTTAATAAGAATTACTGAAAAAAAATTTCATTCTCTTTTTTTTTTTACTTCTCTTCCAATGACCAGGAAAATATATACTGATTCAAATGCAACTGACACATGACTTCTTTTTTTTTTTTAAAAAAAAAGTTTTTTTTTTTTTTTAAAAAAAAAGTTTTTTTTTTTTTTTAAAAAAAAAAAAAAACTCTTCTTTGAAATAATTACGAAGATCTGGATGTTCTTTGTGACCAGAAGATCTTTGTACTCTCTTTTACTAGTCTTCTGTTTTGTATCTTATTTTCTTAATGGGATAAGAAAGTTGTGCATAACAAATGGAAGCAGCTAAGTTTCAAAATCATTAAAACTTATTTTGAAATGATTTTAACTTCTTGTTTGTTTGTTTCAGTGTCCCCTTTTCTCCTGGGTCGTGCTCTTTGGGCTGCCAGTCGCTTTACTGTAGCTATGTCTCCAGAACTAATCCAGCAGTTCCTGCAAGCTACCGTCAGTGGTCTGCACGAGACCCAGCCTCCTTCTGTGCGAATCTCTGCAGTCAGAGCCATCTGGGGGTAAGTGCACACTAGAATATCCCAAAGCCCCAAGGATAGACAATGTCATTGACACTTAAAACTGGTATTTCCAGAGCATTTCTGCCCCAAGTCCACCTCTCTTGTTTACCTTGAAAGAATAGATAATAAATAAGGGCTGACACTTAAATAATTCTGAAATGGTTTTGTCCTCCCCTGTAGAACCTGCTAGTTAAACGTTTAGCGAGCTGTGATTCTCTCACTTGGATCACATTCTTCTTTCTAAAAGTTTTTCAAGTTTTCTCCATTGATGGCAGATCTCAAGAAAGAGTTTTTACTAAGATGAGGTGAAAGCTGGTAATATTTGACTCATCTCTCCTCTGCCATCTAGAAATGGAATGGGGAGAAAGGATCACTGGGCTGTTTAGAGATCAAGGAAGTAGTAGATTGAAGGGAGGAAAGAACCTTAAAGCAATGAATGTAGGAAAGAAAAATGGTTGGGGTGAAGTAACTTTTTATAAAGCCTCTGTTAGTAGTATGAATCCCTTTTAATACATACTGTATGCATTTTTGTATCATGAATTTCTTGTCTAGCTACTGTGACCAGTTGAAGATCTCTGAGAGCACCCATGTGTTGCAGCCTTTCCTTCCTAGCATTCTTGATGGGCTCATCCACTTGGCAACTCAGTTCAGTTCAGAGGTGCTAAACCTGGTGATGGAGACGCTCTGTATTGTCTGTACAGTAGACCCAGCGTTTACTGCAAGCGTGGAGAACAAAATCTGCCCCTTCACAATTGCAATCTTTCTGAAATACAGTAATGGTATGCATTCGAATTGCGCTTTCCAAGTACAGTTGTTCTAGCTAATGAATCCTGGTCAAGTTTATCATTGCATTTAAGAGCATGCTGAAAACTTAATAAATAACCAAATGAATATTGATTCATATGGTAAAGTTAGAAGGGAAACTTGCTGCTTTGCTTATTTGAAACAGCGGTAGCAAAAGTTGAGATGCGTTTGTTAGCGTGTTTTAGTACATGGTGCTTTCTCTCTCCAGATCCAGTTGTTGCTTCTCTTGCCCAAGATATCTTTAAGGAGCTAGCTCAGATAGAAGCCTGCCAGGGTCCAATGCAGATGAGGCTAATACCAACTCTCGTCAGCATCATGCAGGCCCCTGCTGACAAGATTCCTGCAGGGCTTTGTGCAGTAAGTGCTATAGTGGTATATGCTCTTAGCTGGAGATGATTCCCTGTCCTTCAACACGTAGGGTGACTGGCATGCAAGGAACAGAAAGGTCTACTGCTGTGGGACAGTGACCTCGGTGCTTGAGAGAGGTTTCTTTGTGGAGAGAAGACAGCCTGCAGGTGTGGGGGGATGCTCCCAAAAGTTCACTTTAAATCCCGCTCCTGTGGACTGCTGCCTGTCTCTGCAGGGTATCCTTAGTCATTTTGCTTTTGACATAATTGTCAAAGTTGTCACAAGTGACATTTTCTCCTTTTTGGTGTAATGTTTACCAGCAGAGAACTTGACGGTAATTCCTTGCACTGTTTTTCCTGAGACTTTAGAGTATTGCATGTGTATAAATTGCCATAGATAAATTATACAGGTTTATGCTTTCTATAAAAAGTCCATTTATAAAAGGTTAAACCTTGACTGGGTAGAAAATGCAATTTAGGGCATCTTTATCCATATACTAATAATCTGTGTATGACTATAACAGTCACCTAGTAGGTAATTAAATTGGTATAAACTAAATAGAACAGATCAGCAACTAGCTGTACTGGCTCATCATTTCTCAGGCTGTACTGATCAGCAGTCATTTGGACACTATTCATCACTGTGGGACTGTGTGCCACGTTAAGTGTGCTGCTTTTAATATCTAAACAGCTTTGAAATTACACAGCCTGCTGCATCTTGTATCCATGTCAAACATCGTGGCTTTTATGACTCCAAGATGTGCTGCTAAAAATATTCTAGTATGTAAAATTGGGATGTGATCTCAGTACTGGGTCACATCCTTCCACCTTTGATGCTTGCAGCAGTGATGGGAAGTGCTGGCTTAGCACCCTAATAACAGTGCTTTTCTTTGCTTTCTCCTTTCAGACCTCTATTGATATATTGACCACAGTTGTGAGAAATACAAAACCTCCTCTGTCCCAGCTCCTGATCTGCCAAGCATTCCCTGCAGTGGCTCAGTGCAGCTTGAACACAGATGACAATGCTACTATGCAGGTAATAATGTGGGTAGCAGCAAGGCTTGCAGGGCCATGAGAGTCCAAGATAGGTGACCATGTCACACACTTGGTACTGTTGGCTTTACTTGCCTGTAGCTGTGTTGGCAAACTCCCCACGAGTGTCTACCACTTCTAGCTTATCATTAAAGCATTGCTGTTCCAGGACTGCAGTGACTTTTGCTGATCATTCCTTAGTTTGGAGGATCAGAGTGCATTAGACCAGCAGCCTTGGTCTCTGTTTCAGGCTTCTGGATCGCTCATAATTAATGTTTTCATGGCACCTACTAGTGGCAGAGACTCTATGCAGAAATAATCTCAGGCATGGGCTGAGCAAAGGACTCTGGGCTGTGTTTTGCTTCTAGCAGTGTTTTTGGTTGTTTTCTTGTTTGCTTTGTTTTCTTTTTTTCTGATGGGAAAAGATGGGAAGGAAAAGATTTCCCCCCACCTCCATTTTGCCATCACAATGAAGGGAAGAGGCAGAAATAAAAGCTGTCCTGATGTCTTAGCTAGAAAGGAGTGTTGAGTGCAGGCATCTGGCTTTTGGAATGTGGTTCCCTTGGAATCAAGCTTCCTAGTCCAGTCTGTTTCTGAAGTAGATGCTTCTTTGCTTGCTCCGTGACCAACTCTTTTTTTTATTTTTATTTTTTTTCCCTCCGTTCCCTCTACTAAAGTTCCTTTTGGCTGATTTGAATATGGGATGGGAAGGGAGCAAGGATACATTTCAAGTGGTAGTACTGCATGTCTGAGCTTGTTGGTGGTCTGTCCTTACCAAGTGATGTCTTAGAATATTTGGTGGGAAGGGAAAGGTGAGACCTGAAGCTAAAACCTCCGGGTGATTTCTCTTCTCAGGTACTACCCATGTTATATTAAAAAAAAAAAAAAAAAGTCAATTAATTTCCTTACCTAGAGAGTCCAGCTGCCCTTTACCATGTGAATGCAGGCAATAGAAATGGCTTTCCTTAAATAACATACCAGTAAGAATAAGTTGGAGACTGGTAAGAGTAAGCTGGAGACCAGCATGCTTATTGCTGTGCTTTATCTTTGTTTTAAGATGACACAAAAATTGCAGGCTGGCTGCTGGGTCATTTTTCCTGCTGCGCAAGTTCAAACAATCCTTTTACTACACGTGAAGAACCTGAATGCCACTAGTTTTGCCCATTGTTTTCATTTGTGTAAGGGGTTTCTTTTAGTATGGTAGTAGGAGAAAGAGAGGGGAAGTCTAACGCGGTGATTTTCTCCTTAGAACGGCGGTGAGTGTCTGCGTGCGTACGTCTCGGTGGCGCTGGAGCAAATCGCGCAGTGGCACGATGAGCAAGGCCACAACGGCTTGTGGTATGTGATGCAGGTGGTGAGCCAGCTGCTAGATCCAAGGACCTCGGAATTCACTGCTGCCTTTGTGGGCAGACTAGTCTCCACATTGATTTCCAAAGCTGGAAGTGAGCTGGGAGAGAATCTGGACCAGATCCTGAGAGCAATCTTGAGCAAAATGCAACAAGCAGAGACGCTCAGCGTAATGCAGGTGAGAAGGCTGGGCACCAAGAACAACAGGCAAAAATGTCAGGGAGAAGAAATTTTCATTTAAAAAATATTTTTTTTAACTGTGTGCCTGATTATTTGTAATTAGATGTTCTATATAGCCTCTTGAAGTAGCCAGAAAAAGGCCGGTTTTGGGGCCCTCTGTGTCTGCCACAGGGCTAGGCAGCTTTGTACAGGGTTGTCTGGATTACTGAGCAGGTCACATTCCGGTGGGTACGTGCTGGTGCTTCTGCAGTCCCTCATGACTTTATGCCTGGAAGGAGTGACCCTTTGGAGGGGACATGAGTGACCCAAGTAGGAATGTGAAACAATCTGCCTTTGTCACAATCATATGCAAAGGACAAATGCCAGCAGTTGAGACAAGATTTTAGTGGATGTAAGGTGGGTTTTGCCTATTTCCTCTCCAGTCAGAGACCAGACAAGAGCATCATGATCCCTTCTAGCTTTAAGCTACTTACAGGACATAATTTTATGGAATTATCTTATTTTATTCCGATGGTGGTTGTTATTTACCTGTCTTTCTTGCCTGTGCCTTTAACGTATAATACGTAGTGATGCCTGTGCAACATCTATGGGAAGGCAAGATCCCATTTCTCCTCTCTGTGAAGAAATTGGCTGAAGGTCTTTCTACTTTAAGCCATTTATCTTGGGTATTTCTCCAAGCTATGTATGTGCTTTTCAAGGCAGAACACTGAATCAAGAAAGCCGAGATGTCAGCACAGATTTCATCACAAAACCTTGGTTTTTCACCTCAGAAACACTCTTCATTCATAGCTGTTCTGAATGAATGGCTTTCATTATGCCTGCTTTTGGATTTAAAAGATCTGGAAGACTAAATCTGAACTATTCACCTGAAGCTTCCCTGCAGCCAAGGGAAAAGAAACACGCTGCTCGCAGTGGTGAATCTCTTCCATATTCCCAACGTGAGAGAGAGGCCTCTGGAGGTGGGCAGCTTTTCCTTAAGGAAGCCTACAATAATGGCTTCAGTTTGGAGACCAACATTTAGACCTGTGCAGCATACAAATTTTACCCTTGATGATTAGAAAATAACTCCTAGAATTGAATCTTTTGAATCCCTTCCTTAAAAGTTACATCTTAGTCCCTGAAATTTGTATTCAAAGTCCCTCTCAAGCACTGAAGGGAGTGCATCTGCGCAATGTTCAGATGACACAGGAGAGAAAGGTGGCCTCGTGGTTAAGGTGATGGGATGACCCTGGGAATACATGTTCAGGGTCTGGGCAAATAACTTCTGTGCCTTAGCTTGATAATGAGACATACATTTAAGCTATATAAGTGAAGACTTCAAATTCTTTGGTTATGAAACTGCACAGCATCTGGTCCAGTTAGCAAGCACTAGCACTTGCAGCATCCAGATACTGCTGTTGAAGTTTCTTGCTAACCAGTTCTGGTGCCATGCCATGTGTGTATATATATTTATATATTTTTTAATAGCTTTTTAATCCTTGTTTTAGAGGGTCTTGTTGGTTTGGCATGTGGTGTAAGTAAACTTTATTCTTGCCATGTGTTAATCTTGCCATTGGCTGTTTCTGCAGCTTGCTGAGTACCCTGCCAATGGCTCTACTTTTCTCTTCCTTTTGAGCTTTCTAGACCCAAAGCCTCCAGCCCTACATGGCATTCTTAGTTTCCTATTTGAGGAAACATTCTCAGCTATTAAATTATGCATAGCGAATGTTGCCTTTTCTGTCTCTTTCAGTCCTTGATTATGGTGTTTGCTCACTTGGTTCATTCACAACTGGAACCACTCTTGGAGTTCCTGTGTAGCCTCCCCGGACCAACCGGCAAACCTGCCCTGGAGTTTGTCATGGCCGAATGGATGAGCCGGCAGCACTTGTTCTACGGGCAGTACGAAGGCAAAGTCAGGTGGGATATCTTCTAAGCATAAACCGTGCATTAATGGTATCTGACTGGTCATCCCATTGCAGTTGAGAGCACTGGGTGTGAAGGAAAGAGAAGCTGGTTCACACTTGGGTTAGTGTATGCCAGCATTGGACAGAATTGCTTTCCTTTTTTCTCTCTTTTTTTTTTTCTTCTTTTTTCTTTTTCCCTCCCCGTGTTGTCAGCTCCACTCAGCAGAACTGTGGTAATTGGAGCAATCTCTGATCTTCCACTAAGTGCTTCTCTCACTGCTTGATGTTTCTGCACTGAGACAGTGTGACCCAAGTGGGAAGGCGGTGTTTCTTGCAAGCACATGAGTGCTTTGGAGATTGAAACTCTGAACAGAGATGGGAACAGCTTTTAAAAAGGAAGCTACCTTTATGGACCCTTGTAGAGGTTCAGAGCACTTTTGAGGGCTTCCTAAAAGAGGCTGGTGATTCCTTGTGGATTTAATGTGCTCTTAAAAGTCAGTAGAGAAATCAACCATATTTTTTGTTTGCTGTAGAAGCACATTTGTGTTTTAGAGAGTCTGACTGCTCTATTCCAAAGCATGGAATGATCTGTGTTAATTTAAAATTTGCATGAGCTGGTATCTTCAGTTTTTATGGAAGTTCAAGCCTAGCAGACCTCTGCTAAGGGACTTGCCAGCAGTTACCCACCTATTACTGTTGCACGGTAGCCAAATAGCAGGTAAAACAAATAGTCAGGGAAAAAAAAAGTATGTTTAAAATTGAAGTTCATGAATGATCATGCAGAATAGAGATGGTTTTATATACTGCATCAGGTATACCTTGGTCTGTTCTGCTGTTGGGTTACTCTGAGTGAGGCAAAGTGTCTTGGTTTTCTTTTTCATATATCTGTTCTTCCTCCTGCTTGGTCTGTTTTGTCCCTTAAGGGCAGTGTTGTCCAAGAGCAGTGTTGTCTGCAAGATCCCCTGAGGCTGCTTATGGCTACAGAAAATAGCAAAAGCTGAAGCTGACAGGCAAAACAACATTAAATTCCTTGTTGTACACTGCTTTCTCCATACTGTGTCCAAGCTTACAGCTGTTTGTGTATCTGTATTAAACACCTTATTTTGCATTATTTGCAGTAATGCTCATAGTGCCTTATAAAATTCTAGGTATTTTCTAGATACTGAAGAAAAGCAGTGCCTGCCCAGAGGATCCTGTTTAGGGACAGACAAGCAGAAGCCAGTAAAAGAAAAATAAAGTTTGCTGACAGTAGTAAACCTTCAGGAGAGGAGTCCAGTTTGAGATACTGAAGCAGGGGAAACAGGAAAGCTCTGTAATGGTTATCCTTGGCAAAAGCATAGGAGCAAGGGACCTCCAAATGTTTTCTCTGGAGAGACACGTTCCCTCTTGACAGTCTGTGGTGAAAGTCAGACAGTGGAGAGGTTCTCATGTGTGACATCTATTTTTATGTCTAGCTCTGTGGCGCTGTGCAAACTCCTTCAGTACGGCATCAACACAGAGGACAAGCGACTTCAGGACATTAGGGTGAAGGGGGAAGAAATATTTAATATGGACGAGGGAATACGGACACGATCGAAATCGGCCAAAAGTAAGTAATCTTCCAGATCTCCTGCAAGTTTTGGATATTCCTTGTAGAAAAGCATGCTGGTTTTGCTAGAGCTGATCCATACATCATGTGTTTCACATATCTATTATTAGCCTTAATTTTGCCAGACTGTACTAGTACAAAGCAGAGGCCCATTTAAACTCGAGGGATTTGTGTGAAGTCTGAATTAACATCTAGAGAAATAAATAGGAGAAGCCCTAGGATTTGAAGAGGCAAATAGGAGGTTGCATCACAGCTGCTACCTTGTTATTCCTTGCTTAAAAGAGGGAAGAATCCCAACAAGGCAATGTTTAGTCAGACAGGAGTGGTAATTGTCAGCATCTGAAAGCAGAGTTAGAAGCTAGTGCTCCTAATTTCTTGATTAGATAAAGTCTTTGGCAATTAAGGACAAAACAATACTGTTTGCTATCCCTAATTCTTACCAGGGTTCCTGAAAGGATGAAAAATTTAGTTCTTGCAGTGCCGCAGGGTAAGCAAAAGATCCATGATGGGGAGGGCTGTGCTGCTCATTTGCTTTAAAGCAGGGATAGGTATGCAAAACAATTTCAGAGAAGAATGCATAATAGAGTGAGGTCAGTAACTGTGACTTAGCTGAGTAAGTTCACAAATTCCTTCAGCTGTGAAATATTTTTTTCCCAAGTCTCCTCGTCATTCAGTATGCCAGTCCTGATATTGCAGTTAAAATCTTTGGAAATCTAACCATGAGGCTATGCAAAAGGAATCTTTCCCTTTTTCCTTCCAACCTGGAAATTCTGCTGGTCTGTGAGCATTGTTAGTGTACAGTGAAATTAAAGTGACCAGAAAAAACCTCTTGGCTTTAAGATTTTTATTAAAAGCAGTGTGTATGAATATATATTTTTTCTTTATTGTAGATCCTGAACGGTGGACAAACATTCCTTTGTTAGTAAAAATCTTAAAATTAATAATAAATGAACTCTCTAATGCAATGGAAGCAAATGCATCTAGACAGACAACTGCAGACTGGAGTCAAGGTAAACACCAGGGTTGGTTTTTCCTCTTTGCTGTGTGGCAGAGCCCAGAGGGGGTGATCAGCGGTGCAGAGTCTCGTTGGAGGCCTGTAGCTAGCGGTGTCCCCAGGGGTCACTCCTTGGTCCAGTCCTGTTCAATTTATTCATCAATGACCTGGATGAAGGCACAGATGCTCCCTCAGCAAGTTTGCTGATGACACAAAACTGGGAGGAGTAGCTGATACCCCAGAGGGCCTTGAGAGGTCCCTTCCAACCTTAAGCATTCTATGATTCTATGAAACCCACTTGCCCAGTTAGCAAAAATATTTAATCTCTTCAGAAACACTACAGACAGTAGTAAACAACAGAGTATAGTAAATATCATACCTATAATTATAAAGGTGTAAATGGTGATCCATGTTATCTATTCTTAGAACTGACAATTAATTATTTCTAGCCAGTCAGTCTGGAAAACGAGATCTGGCCACCTGCCCGTAAAGGAAAATCATCCTTGCTCAGAATATTCCCCTTCCTTCCTCCCTGTTTTGGTCATACTTCCTTGCTGCTTCCTTTTGCCAGTCCCAGCTGTTGTGAACCACGCGTTTCAAAGGAATGATAATGGTGTCTGCAGGGATGTTTGCCTAAAAACTATACAGTCCCATATGGGCTGATTGATGGGTTGGATGTGTTTGGATTTTGTTTATCAACCAGTAACTTGTGTTTTCTAAACAGATGATTCAAATGATATGTGGGAGGATCAGGAAGAGGATGAGGATGAAGATGAAAACATAGCAGGACAGTTCTTATCAGATATTCTTTCCACAAACAAGTATGGTGAGTTATGGCTGTAAAGTGCTAAACAAAAATAGAACAGATTATTTTCTACTCAGAAGTGTTTTTTTTTTTCCTATATAGCAGCTCAACAGAGACTGCAGGCTGGGAAGGGAATATTACACTGGTATTTTGAATAATGATCTTTATCTGGAGGAATAAAAAAAGCATGTCCTTGAATTCCACTTTTTCTACATGGAAGTTCAAAAAATTGTGTAGACTTTGTGTTTCTTTGAAGTTCATGCATGTAGCTGCTTTAAGGAGAAAATTAATGCTTGAAGGTGTAGATGTGGCCCTGAAATGACAGTGTCAGAGCAGAGGATGAACTCATTTGTGGAATGATGTTGAGAAATAATTTCAGTGTAAAGAGGAGGGAGTGGATATAATTCCTCAGTCCTCCAGGTTGCCTGTAACCTTAGAGAACCCCCCCAGGGAAATATGATAAAGGAGATGTGTTTACCCCAGCAGCAGCACAGAAATGCAAATGTGGCGTAAGATTACAGGGTAAGATAATGATGCATGTAACTAGCAACGAACTCATCTGGCATTTCTTGTACAGCAAGTCTCACCGTTGCACTCCTTGAGGCTCCCACTGTGTCCCTTCTGGGTTTTAACTAACCATGTAAACATGAGGGAATATATTCTGGATTCAGAACTACATGCAGCACTAATGAAACCCTTTGTGGAGCCTTAGATCTTAGGTCTAATAGCTGCTGGAAATATTTTGCTCTGTTCAGCATTAAAACCTAACAATTTATCTCTGGCAGATGAGGATTACTATGAAGATGATGAAGAGGATGATCCAGATGCGTTAAAGGACCCTCTTTACCAAATAGATCTCCAGGTGATGCTTTAGAATTGTGTGTGTGTGTGTGTTATTTTTTTTTTCTTTTTCCTCTCCTTGAATCTGATTTCTATCATGTCCTATAAAGGTTATTTTTGTATCTTTTGCTTAAAACTGCAAAACACTACTGATAGCAGGTAGCATTGTTAGCCTGAATGTACTCAGTTCATGCAAACTGCTTTGGAAAGTGCTGAGCATCCAAAGAATGCCTTGAGGTATTGCTTGTTATTGCAGCAATATCTATAATTTGGAGATGTGAATCAACAAGACTTTGTGGACAGATGGTTGAGCCTCTTCTACCCCTGAGCTTCTCAGCTCTTTGAGATCAAAAGTTGATGGAGACTGAGCATTACAGAATTTAATACACCATGTAGAGGCTCCTGTCTAGTCACAGTCCCCAGGCATTGCTTTCCTCCTGCTTTTTAACACCACCTGGAAGCTGTTTATGAGCCTTTGCTTCCTGTCTTCCTTCTACATCCCTTCTTGTTCCCTGTAATCCCTTTGTTTTACTTAGTGTGTGTTACTTTTATCACTTGACATATAAGAGGAACAGAAAGATGTGAACTGATGCTAACTTAATTTTTGTCTTTCTTTTAGGCCTATCTCACTGACTTCCTGTGTCAGTTTGCACAGCAGCCATGCTATGCAATGTTCTCAGACCATCTCAATGAGAATGAGAAGCGAGTGTTACAGGCCATTGGTATATAAACCCCATCAAGAGACCATACAGATCATATCCGAACAATATTTTTCTGGCTTATTCCACGTTTTATGATTAAACATGAAACATTTTTTTTCCAGTGTCCACCTGCTTGTTACAGGTGGATGATGGGCCTCCTTGTGAAGTATTGAGCCTCATCTTATCATGAATCTGCTAAGGGAAGGAATACTAAGGAAGCAGCAAAGATGGAAGTCTGTAGAGCTTTGCACATTGGCTTCACCATGGGAGCACTTTCATTTTACACAGTCATGTTCCAGGAGTTCTTAAACAAAATGTGCTCTTAAATATTTTTAAGAGCAAATGGTCTCTGCCTGTGAAGAGCCACTTACCTGAGTTTCACACAGCACAGATGGACAGAGAAAGGAATCAGGTCACTATCAAATTGCTTGGATGTATCTGGAGAAATTGGAAGGTTGTTCCTCTTTGCGCTCACATAACACGTACAGGGTAAATATCTGGATCTTACAGTTTGACTTCTTTTTATAGAACTATAGACTCTCTTGTCAGAGATGCCTGAATGACATGGAACCTGTTTACAGGGGTATGGATGGGAAGCTGAGACAATAAAAATAAATGCATATCTTCTTTCCTATTGTGGATGGAGCTTTGTTGCTCACATCTACTCTCCAGGCCCATCGGAGCAGTTGGTTACTAATGCTTTTGTGTGCACATGCTAAAAGGAAGCTACCACTTAACTCTGGTCCCTGTGGCATGTGGCTACTAAAGACTTCGGTTTTATGGAACACAAGGAGCCACAGGTTTTTTAGGGGGAAAAATGATTATATTTAATGTGTTTGCTCCATAACAGCCACTCTGATCTACTTCGCTTCCTTCACACTCCCATGTGTATTTTTATAGAGTGGTAAAATAACACTTACAAATTGATTTACCCATAAGAACAGTGTGATGTATCTCACGACACCTCTCTGCCTTTGGTTCCCCCTTGGGGAAAATTAAAATAAAACTATTAAAATATACACTGGTATCCTTCTTATCAAACAGATTTGAAAGGACATCATCCTTGTTTCCTGAAATCACTTCTTAAGGAAATCTCCTCTTCCTGGAGGTTGTTAGGGTATTTCACAGGAGTCATCTGGAGAGAAAGGGAGTCCTGTAATGGTTATATCATCTTCTGCTTCAAAGAAAAAGGGTGACCCATTATAGAGTTTCCTTTCTTAAGAAAGGTACTTGCTGTTCCTTTGTGGAATAAAATGCTTTGAAGTTGTATCTAAAACTTCTGAAGAGCTGGAGTATTTGTGCATCTTACTGGTCTAAGTTTGCGTATGGCTTTTTCACTTCTTTTTTTTTTTTTTTTTAACAAAAGGGGGTGACAAGTTTTTTAGCAGACAAAAATGGCACAATTGGTCTCGCATACGTGGGATAATAGCAGTATTTTACCAAGTCATAAAACTGATATTGCTTCCCCTCTTACCCCACAATCCCTCATTTTGTGCCTGAGAGTAGGCAGGGATAGAGGGGATCACACATCTTGCTACATGCCCATAGACTCATCTCTCCCATCCTTAATTTCCCAGTAGTTCTCTAGGAATAACTCCATGGAAAGTAGAATTTATGAAGTCTGATTGTTTTCTTGTGGCTTTGTCTGGATTAGTGTCTCAAGAAGTATGAGGGCTGGTGGAAAGTTTCCATGCAGTTGAGTCTTTCTTCCCTGTGGAATCTCTGGTGTATAAAACTATATAATTAAATTTGGTGCCATGGCCTTCCTTTTCCTGTGTCGTCTGCTGTGGCTCTGTCTTTTTCCTCATCTTTAATTCCTCCGATCTCAAGAGTTTTTTTTGAAATAAATGTCAGTCCATTTCAGCCAAAGCTATGAGACAAGTTACACTAAGCAGTGCAGTCTCATGAGGAAAATGGAAAATAGATGGCAGCAGTGCCCAATAGCTGTAAAAAGGATCAACTGAGCGTCCTCAAGAGTGACCAGTCCTGACAAGGGACGAGACGGGACCATCTTGGTTAGCTGACGCTCCTCCCTTGAGCCTCAGAACGGGCCTGTGCTCCATTGAAACTTGTTGTGAGCCAGTAGAAAAGAAGAGTGAAGACCAAATCTAAGTGGTTATTGCAAGCTGCAAAATTAAAAGGGGCTATCAAATACTTTGCCCCATTAACTGACAGCAGGACTTGGAAATTGTTTTTTGAGGTAAGTGAACACAACCTTTGCAAGAGTCTGGGTGTGTTTCTGGCAGTAAGAAAGGGACCATGTGCACGTCTAGCTGGTCTGGGCGCTGTGGAGAGGGGCTGGGGGGTTCCTGTGCTTCCAGGTGGAAGTTGACTTGTGTGTCTTCATTGTGTTGCCTTATTCATCCTTAAGGCTCATCAAGTTGGATGACAAACTGAAGCAAAAACATGAAAAATGGAGTGCCGCTTAGCAGTACCGTTCCTCATCCCAAAGTGTAGCTAAGGGTTTCTTTGGAATAGCAAAGTGGCCTAAGTAAGCGACGAGCAGCATCTTGTAGAGTTCCTCTGGAAGTTCCTCCATGTGGTGGTTAGAAGCTGCTTTGGTTTGCAGGTAGCAGGTTTGCAGGTGTTCTTCCTGGGAGTGATGACAGGAGCTGGGAAGGACTGGGGGAGATGGTGGATTTTGGGGAGCTGGTGCTCTGTGCCGTCCTTCCTATCGGGTTGGTTTGCGTGCGCCTGCCGGACCTCTTCCACCAGAGCAAGGTGACACTGCTGCTGTGTGCTGATAAATGAGATGGTCCCTGACATATCAGCACGTTAGTGCTCTGTGCTGCCCTTCCTATCGGGGTGGTTTGTGTGCGCCTGCCGGACCTCTTCCAGCAGAGCAAGGTGACCCTGCTGCTGTGTGCTGATAAACGAGATGGTCCCTGACATATCAGCACGTTGTGGGGCAAGAGGACAGAACGGCCTCATTTTCCTATGATGGGCACTCTGCCACCAGCAGACCTGTGGCGTATGGGCTGTTTTCAGGCAAGAAATTCACTGCCTGGAGCTTCCCCTGGGAAAGGGAAGCCGGGAGCATGAGGTAAGGGCTCAGGATGAAATATGGCTCATATGAAATATGCCCTGACTGGCAAAGGCCCGGTCTTCAGAGGTGGAAGGCTGCCTTTCTGTTGAAAAGAAACTTGACTAATCCTTGTTAAAAGTTACTAACTGTTATCAAACACAAGCTCGGATCAAGGCTGCTCCAGAGCATCCATGAGCCTTTACTGCTCCTGAATCTGTGCCTGGCACGTCTACGTCCCCATCCGAGCTCTTCAAGGAGACACCAGCTGCGTTTCCCTGTGCTGGGTTTTGCCTTGGCAGGAGCTGCACCAAGCTCCAAGAGCCACAGCTTGTCATTTAAATAGTGGCTGTGGCCTCTGTGGCTCTGTGTCAGCTGAGCTCTGGCTTTGGAACAAGACTTATGC